CCCGGTTTCACCAAACGTCGCTCAACTTTAATCTTGGTTTAACTCGTGATTGTGTCTTTCTAAAGTAACAGTTGGAAAGAGACAAAGAACGAATTAAACTAAGCTTAATGTAACGTTGGCGGGGCCAGGCCTTAGCGTAAAAGCGTCCGCGGGTGAAATACACGCGGATAAAAACCAGCTGTTATCCGAAAGTGAGAAAGAGAGAGAGAGAGAGAGAAAGACATGTCTGGAATTTGATGTTGTCAACTCGTGCCACTTTTCGCGCGGCGATGCGTATATTAATAACTGGCGCGCGCCTCGCTCTTCATCTGGCAAACGAGATTTTAACCAGGCATGACGCTTAGCGTTGATTCCAGTCGATTGGCAACTGATCTTGATCATCGGCGGACTGGTTGTCTGCGTGATCCTGATTGGCATAATAGTCTTACTCATTCTACAATGTCGCGATCGCATTAAGCAGCCACGACCACGTACGGCGCAAACTCAAGAGACTGATATGCGTAAGTAATTACAAAACCCAATACGACGATATATATTCGGTCAGCCCATAAATAACGTTCTAGGAAAGGAAGCCTGATTTATTCTCGAGCTAAAAAGTAAAAGACCTTTATCGCCAGAAAATTGAAAGTGGCAAGAAGCTGTAAATAACGAAGGAAAATATATTTAGAATTAAAATGATTAATTCGCTTTTATTTTGTTTCACTTGAAAAGTATCCCTAGAAGACCGCATTATTTATGGAATGACCCAATAGATTACCAGATGCTGTAAGAAAAATTGCTCCAGAGTAACAAATGTACCAATTGTGCTCGATATAACACTCGGAATAGCGCTTTAAGATTTGATCTTTCTTCTATATTCATACGTCCTGCAGTACATGTGTTAACGTGCTCTTGTCGCCGTTTTGCCACAACAAATTGTTAAATTTCTCAAGACCTCCGTCGATTGCAGTCGTTTTTTTTCTAATTCATACAGAGGAGACCGATTCCAACGCCGATCGATACAGAGAAAGCGATAGGAGCAGCAACCTCTCGGATGTCAAAGCGGACATCCGAGCGGGATCCAGTGTCAGCAACGCGGAAAGTGTCACGGCCCTTGACAGTGAAGGCGAAGGAAGTACCAGAGGAGTAAACGCCTTGGCGCTCGCTGGACCAGTGCCGAATCCATTATCCGGTTATCGTTACAGCGCCGATTATACCGAGCCTTCCTTCCCGCCGAAGAATAACGTAAGTGGATTTAGAGTACGTTCGATACCTTAACGACTGTCAAGTACCTCTTTGAAAGAAAAAAAAAAGAAAAGAAATGCGATCGATTTATCCGGGAGCAGACTTTTACATGGAGATATACTCCTCGTAATTCGTGTCTTATCGATATCTCTAAGTGAGACGTCTGTCTTCGCAGGATGGTAGTAACAACAACGGTTACGTGCCATACGTTGACTACACTCGCGATTACATGCCACCGACGACGCAGAGCATGGGCGCGTCGCGAGAGTCCCTGAGCAGGATACCCTCGAGCGGTATCCTGTCGTCGAAAAAAATCGGACTCAGCTCGGCGAACCTGGGAGGCAGCACGACTCCGCAGACGACGCCGATCGATCCGCGATTTTCCGCGACATATGGCAACCCCTATCTCAGGTAAGTATCTCTCCCCAGTATCTCTCTGTTCGGACAAGACGGCGTCGGCTCGTTCGGACAACGAACCGGGGAGAAAAGGGACTCGTTTTATCGTCGGGATCTAATCGAGCGTTAAAATTTTTCCAAGGTCGTCGACTCGAGACGGGATTAAACCACGGGACAGACCAGGCAGTACCTTCGGCGTGATATAATTGCTCCTCCGCCGAGCGAGCGACGCGATCAAAGTTCCAAAATTTCTGAGGGTGTCAACATAGTCACGATTCCAGGATCGCGCTCGCGCGGATGCCTCGGACTAATTATAATTGGCTCGCGTCATTGATCGGCCGCGGATACCTTAGGCGGCGTCACGTCCCGTTTACGTATACGCCACGCGACGCTTGTCATCCCCGTGCGCGAGAATCTCACGCCGTACGTGCCGGGAATGCGCTCGTCGCGAACGGCTAAATTAGATATGAGAGCGGAGCGCGGTTGCGCCTCGCGCGAGAGCACCCGGGAAATGCTTGGCCTCCCTTAAAAATATTACGGAAGCACGATGATTAAAAAATCACCGGGGAAGAGAGGGATGGGGCGAGGAGAGAGCGAGAATTCTTCAGAGGAGCGGAGCGTAAATTCTATTCAAGGCTCGCGTAAATTCCGCCGGCGACCGGCACATTGAATTTGGCCCTCTGCTTTCCCCGGGTGCTTTTAAAATTCTTGTTTCGTTGTGCGTTCGGCGGCCCTCCCTTCAAAATTTTATACCCTCCCCGCCGGGAGATGACCTCGAAGCGTCTCAGTATTGTGTCTGGATATACCGAGTTCACGTTTCGCCACCCGCATCCGGTTCATACGTGCTCCTCTCTTCCTTCTGTTTACCTTCCTCCGCCAAGGATGCAAACAGCAACAACCTCACGTGTTTTGTTTCAATTCGGACCCGGAATCCAAGGCTCCTCACGAGTACGAGCCCGGGACGAGGCGACTCCCTCGCTTCGAGACGAGGAGCGAATTCGTTACGGTTTCAGTTCAGCTCCGCGGTTATAACGTAGAATAAAAGCTGACCGAGAGCTGTCAACGTGCGGCGGTCTCGCCAAGTCTTTCCTTTTTCGAAATGGCGAGAGATATCGCGGAGGAGCGCTTTCAGTCAACGTCAATGATAAACGCATGACTGGCGAAACTTTGGAATACTTTTTTTCCCAGTGATTCAGTTTCAATCTGAATATATCATTTTTCTCTTCCTTCTTACGATCGACTTCTACACTCTACAAGTTTTACACATAAGTGTCTTATGCGAAAGTCTAAATGATTATGAGTCTTATTCGAGAGGATGAAATGTTGAGCGGTGGTTTCACAGTGAAATCTTATATTTACAATCGCATGAAGATTATCTTCCGATAAATTCAAGACGGTTTCTTGAATATAAGATTTGACTATGAACACCTTAAAGTTTTATGTACTTTGTTCATTAATTTTATCAAGTGTCCAATGTCAGTTGTAAATCGTTGATCGACCGTCTCGATGCGATGAATGAAAATGAGAATATATTGGACGCTCGCACAACGAAGAAACGTTGAAGCACTCGTGACGCCTGTACAGGAACGAAGTCGCGACGAGTCGGATTCAGTTACTGTTTGCATGCCTGGTGTGCCTCTCTCTTCTCTTTTCGCGATTTAAATTCCGACGCGAGGGAGAAAAAGCCCGATTTCCCGTCACTAACGCTGCATTTCTTTCTTACAAACGAATACAGAATGTCAGCGGCCGAGCAGCTCCGACACGCGCCGCACACAGCCGTGCCGGGAGTCACGCCGGCACCGCCGCCGTACACGCAGGCAATGAGAATGAATAGCTTGAATACCTTGAACGGCGCTGGCCCGCAGGTTGGTACAATAGCGAAATGTATGTCAAATTCCTAAACGTAGTTACGCCGACGCGCGGAGTGCTACGCGGTGGCTTGGCGCAACTTGGGGGTAGATCGGGCGCGAGCTGTCAATATTGCAAAAGCCGTTGCAACTGCGCCCGCCAACTACTTTCATTTTGCAAGCGCTAATCCTTTCCCGCACGGGCCCATTCCAATTCCCCGAGGCGCGTAAATTTTCTCCTGCAAATTGTTTTTGTCTGTTCCCCGCATCGCATGCCTCCGCGTAAGATACGCGAAGAAAATGAGCTTTGCCTCGCCGAGGGGATGAAGGGAGGGGGGAGGAAAAAGAGAAAATTTTAAAAAAACCCAGGTAATCAGGTAAGTTGTGTTTCAAGCACGGTTGAGCTTCATCGACGCTCCGGATTTTATCTTGGACTCTACATAATATGAGCGCGGTATTAAGGGATGCATGTAAATACGATCCAGAGTTAAACTGTAATTTATTTTTTATTCCTCCGAATCGTTTGTCTCTAACGACTCTTGTCGGCTGACAAAATTCGCGATGGCGATTCGTTATTTTTCCCTTACGTTCCGATTTAACCGAGCAACCTGACTAGGTGTTTATGATCAATGCAAACGCGCAGCGCAGTGCGGTACACGAGCTATTGAGCGAAATAATATTATAAACCAGTAATAATGTCACACGTTTGATAAAGTACAATGTTCAGTCGCTATGGCGAAAACGTAAAATGTTGAATTTTTTTTTTCTTTAGGACCGTAGGAAAAGTACCATAATAACGTGGCTGAAATTCGTATTACGCAGTTTCACAAATCCTTTTATTTCCCGAAATGAGAAAAAATATGGCTTTTACCACTTTTCCGCTCGCATATTACTCGCTGAATGTGTTCATACTGTATAATTCAATCTTTGCACTATTTGAGGCTTTATAGTTTAATGGATATAGATGGGAACATTAGCTGGAATATCTGTTTTACGTTTCTATGGAGATGGTGTAATTAAATATGTGTGTTACGTATCATAAAAATATATTAATGGTACTTCAACTTTTATAGATACACAAAATAAGTACATCATAAGTTTTTCAACGGAAATAATTTTATCTCCCTCTATAATTGGTACAGTCTTAATGGTGGAAAGTCCAAATCTGTAGAAACCATAATTGATATTCAGCGAATCTATCGAGCGCGATTTATGGGGGCACGTCTTTAGTTAACAAGTGTCTTTCTCGAGTTCAACAAGAGATTTAAACTGAATAAGAGAAAGTATGTATTTTTTCTCTTAAATTGAAGTAAGAAAACACACGATAGATAGAAGCAAAGTAGTATCTATAGGATTCCCAACAGCGTGGGGTAAAATGGTCGATAATGTGACTCAGGATGTCGCGTTTCTTTCTGTGTTGCAGGCCCCATTGTCAGCGCATTACATCACCGGCGGCCCAAACGGGGCCATGGCGACGGTGAAGCGCACATCCGCGGTGGGCACGTTAGCGACGCACGTATGAGGCCAGGGGATCTATCCGAATTAGAACCGTCGATACTCGGGCCTAACTGAGACCACCTTCGAACTCGGATGCGCCCACGAGACGCCCCGCTACTTGCTCGGTCCGCGGCCGGCGACGCTAAGATCGACGATGACGCGCGACGCGCGACGTCTCGTTGACGTATCGGAACAAAGTCAATGCCGCTACGACGAGGCCCGGCACGCTCACGACACGGAACGCTATAGAGCGGAGTACGAGCGACTTGTAGGACGAAGGTCGCGGGGCAGCAGGGGTCATGGCGGGGTCACGGACCGGGCACAACGAATGGCGGAGAATGGCGAGGCGCTCAAATATATCGAACTGGTGCTTCGGCAGTTGCATGCGGCTAGCAGAGATCACCGAGAGCTCGTGCGGCGACGTCACGCGGACGTCCAGTACGAGGTCGGTAGGCGATTCAACGAGAGAGTCTGGCATCATCGTTATCATCATCATCGTCTTTATCGAGAGGAGCGCGAGGGCTCGACGGACGGGTCTAGAAGTTGGTCCCGGGCCTCGAGCAGCCCGTGGGAATCGGACTTGACTCTGAGGAAAGCGCAACCGGACGTTACCACGAGGTTGCTGACAAAGAGAAGGGATTACGGTGGAACGGCGCAGAGCACAGTCGACATTCTGAGGCCGGCCCCCGGACGCGTCCGGGATGGAATAGCTGCGGCCACTTACCAAGAGATGAAATACATTCCCGAAAGTGTCGGCTGGAAGGGCGCGCGGGAAACGTTCGGTGCGTGGAGTCTGCCCGGAGCGTCATCGGGCAACGATCGAAGGACATCCTCCACCGTCGTTTAACGCCGCGAGGATCGTAGCTTTGTGCCGCGACAAGATCCGTCGATCTCAGCAAGAGGGTTGCGGATGGGACACTCGAGATGAGACTCTCTCGCGAAGGAAGGAAGGTATCGACGAGGATACGATCGTCAACGAGCGACTCGTTCGCGTTAATGATACGCTTGCGCTAGAATTGCATCAATCGAAATCAAACTATCTCGCTGCGCGATTGTGAAACGCAACGCACGCCGAAGAGACGGCCGGTGCGAAAGGGACGCCGATATCGAAGGGAACGGACGTACTCTCCTTTTGGGTCAATAAGATTAGATTTAGGAGCGACGAAGAGCGCCGCGAGTGCGCTCGGAGGATATTCGTGAGTACGAGACGAGGGGGGAGGGAGGGACGATGTTGGTTGGGTTCGTGGATCGAAGGTACTCTCTTCGGTCGGTGGCGAAAACAGACCACTCGGTATCGACAATCTTCTATTGACGTACTTTAGATCTTCTATATAATAAGCGTTTAATAAGACTCGCTCGAGCGGAAAGCGACGGAAGGTCCGAACGAATCACGTCGCGAATTGTTGCTGTCGCGGTGGTAGCCGAAATACCGGGAGACACTGTCGACGCGATCGACGACACGGTCATTCTCGTGAGACCTCGAGGATCCTCCACGAGGCTGGGAGCTTTATTGCAGAAGCCGCTTCCCGGTAGTGAACCGAAGCTGGGTTTACGCTTGACATTCACAGTGCGACGATTCTACCCGACTCTCTTATTCGCAAGGATACAATGAGAGTGGTTACTTTTTCACAGTGTTTCACGTATTCTTCCTCAATGATCTCGATTATTACTTATGACAGTATATTTCTCAAATTGTAAGTATACTTTACATACAATATTTCAATTGTTGAATGTAGTTGGCGAAGCTTAGATGGAAAAGTACGTTAAAGAAGTAACTCTCGAGAGATGTTTCTTTGCATTTACAAAATTACAAAATTCACTTTCGCCCCTATACTAATAGGTTTTTCAACAAGACAGTTGGGACGTCCACATGACGCGACACCGACGAATGTCAGGCGCAAACCGCAACGAGATCGTTTCGGCTGCCACTGCGATGTTCACTGTGTCGCGCTGCCTTTTTGTATTTGTAGGGAAAAAGAAATAATGACAGATTAGCTTATAAGAGATGTGCCGCTCGTGCAACATCCGCAGACTTAAGGGCGCACGTTAAGGATTAACGACGACGCCGCGGTGGCCACGTGGCTTTACGTAGCGACGATAGATCGCGACAAGTTCGTGGCTTCGCGTTTCCTCCGGCCTCAAGTTCCACGTGCGACGGACAGGTAATTAGTAAGCGCGGGTTCGCGCCAAGGGAATTCGGCACCGCGTGTTTTGCGGCTGTTCGTATTTGTAAGATAGATAGCGAAAATCATTAGGTATACATATATAAATATATTATACACCTGTTGTCAATATGAGCATAGGGCCTATATATAGAGTGATGGCACTACGTGAAAGCGAATTCTATTTGAAATAAGCTCGTTCGCGCGGGGTGGGACGGCTTCATGTAAATAACTATTGATAAATGATTATTATGTACGTATAAAGAAAGAAAACGTAACGGGAAATACGAAACGCGGGCGCGATGTCCTGCGACGTCGCGGTTTCGTCGCGCATTTTTCCAAAAAAGAATGACGAAGGCGCGCGACTAGATCCGCGCTCAATTTTACTCTCTCGTAACGCATTATGTTGTCACCCTTTCCATTGCATATGTCGTTTTCACCGCGATATGCCGTGGCTCGTTACCGAGGATCGAATGATTCAAGGAGAGATTCGATAAGTTCGCTTCTTCATTTTTATAATATAAACTCCGACACGCCACGAATCAACATATACTTTTATATTATCTTCGAAATAAGTTTGTGATTTAAGAAACGTGTTGTCGGTGTCCATGGAAATTTAATTTTCACAGATTTAACAACATTAAATCTCTCACGATATCTCCAAGTTTCAAGCTATTCTAAAAGATAACCGCTCTGAAAAATGTACGAAAAGTGCGACTTATCAGACTATGTTACATCGTTACATCCGCCCTTCCTCGGGAACGATCGACGGCGCGAGCGATCCTCGATTTGTTATAGTGCGATCGAGAAAAACGTATCCTGAGAAAAATACATGGTGATGTATAGAGCGGTCATAAGGGATACCATTCATAATGATAACGAAACAGGGTAGCCTATCAATTATTAAGACAATTTCAAAAGTCGAAGGCTGCACACTACAGACTGGGCCGTACGCTCGCGTATCCTACGTCGTCAGGATAACGATTAATCCGCGCGCGAGAAACCCCCGGCGATTCGTTGTACCGTCGAGGGGGGAGTAGGACGAAATTATTATTAAACGATACCGATCGTCGCACGTTGAGGAGCTAAAATTCCGACCGCGAATGCGCTTACGCGTTCGCGTCGTCAAGAAGATATCTTTATATCGTAACGTCTGTAACATAAATACTTCTGTACATATCTGGAATTATTGCTCACCGTATCTCGTAAGATTTAGTTAGTTTTGTAACTGTGAACCACTATGTGCATACATACTTCACTTTATGAGAGGCGCCTCGTGACGAATGTTTCGCGCTAAAGAGACGGGGAGTCCCGTTCATTCGAAAGGACATCAGCCGCGTCACTTGCGAAAGGGTTTCGCAGATCTGACGAGAAATTATATCGGCTTATCTCCTTAATGACGACCGTGACTCTTTCCTCTCGAAGCGAAAACGCGTCGTCGAAGTCACGACGTAGGCAAGGCTTTAACGAAGGCTTTAATTTAATATTAACGCACCGAATGTACTAACATCCTTTCTAACTGTCGTCCACGTGGAGGAAAGCATAGCTAACTCGTATCAGAGAGCCCTTTAAGCTACATTATTAATTGAAATTATCCCTCTTTCTCGTTACAACGTCGTTCTTTTTTTCTCTTGCGTGCCGGCAACCCAAACTTTCGGCTTACTGTCAACAAGTAGGAAAGAAGTGCGATACCTTAATTAAAAGTCCGTCGCTCACGGTACAACGTACAACTTTTTAATTTCGCGTGAATGACAGTTAAATTGCGGTTTCGCCGACGCGTTGTCAAATCATCGATGCGGGCCGTTGACAAGGGATTACGCGAATCATCCATCCGGGGTTTCGCTTCTCGTGCATCATTCGATCATTCTGTACAATGTTCACGCCGATGTTACTGTTAACTATTTAAGATTTCGGAATCTTGAGTTTCGCGCGGGGCGCGCACATACGACGGCACCGTGTGCGCGCGGAATGGCGAATAATGCATATATAAGTATCGCGCTTGCAAGTGGTACTCTCCGAATGCCGAATGTGCGGCGGGGAGGCGAGAGGGGATCCGTCATCGGATCGTCACTGGGGACGCCTCATCGCGAGTACATTCGGCACGGAGAAGTTATACATACAGAAGTTACATACGATTTCTATTATAACAAAGAGGAAAAAAAAGAGAAAAACTGTAGATTAATGAGGTATACACGCGAGAAGTAACTACAATCAATGTACTGGATGGTCCGTGTGGCGATGTTAAAATTAGAAAAAGTTTATGTCGTTTGAATCTTAGGAGTTTACGCCTTTTCTGCCGTAGGACCATCCTATACGTATTAATTGGTTATCTGTCAATTATTAATTGAATTATATCAATTTCTTCGCCTTTAGTCAAGGAACGCGGGGAATGGGTGTAGCGTGATGGCGCGATCGCGTTGTTGTAAAGTCAAATTTCCTAGGCAATGTAAGAGACGGTCCCTTTTAGCGAACGCGGGCGACCCCGTTCGCATAACGAAAGACGAATAATTGCCTAAGGGGGTGGGACGAGGAATTTTTCAAATTTGTTGATACTTTTCATACTTTACGACTAGGGATTATGGCCTATTACTACTATTACGCAAAGTTTATCCGCCGGCTCGGTCGTTTTTACTCGCCCTCAGCCGCGTTTCGTGCGATCGTAGAGCACGTTTCAAATCACGTCGAGATGCAACACTGTAAATAGTAAATACCTTAGAGCGGCATACGTCATATACCGGAATTTCACCCGATCTCACCCTTCAGTACCATTTCATTCGCCCATACTTACATCAATAGCCTCACTCTCCTATATTTCAGACATAAAAATGGCGCGTATCGATTAACGGGCTCCGAATTGTTACCCCCGTAATACTATTAATACGTTTAATACTAGCGATCCCCT